GGCTGAGCTACTCGTTCTAAACACTCAGCAAAACATCTGTACCTAAGGCTCTTTTCAGAGCCACCCACTTTTTCATAAAAAGAGCTGTTTGCTACTGCTGTGATTCTAGACAAGCCAAAAAGGGGTTTTTTAATTAAAAGGCACTTTACTATTACTACTTGTCTGATATTTTCTTATGTCTATACAGTGGAGAATCTTGTTCTAAATAATACAGGTGACCCCGTGCATTGTAGGTGCTTCACAAATCTTACTACCTAGGAACCTGAAAAAAGTTCCCTCTAAAGCTCATCAGCAATTACACCCTTTCAGAGGAGTCTTGGGTGGCTCTTAAAAGAGCCTTTTAGTTGGTTAGATATTAACAGTTCTGCTAATAGAACGTGTCTACTTGGAGCTGGTATACTTGGTGACAGCCTTGGTGCCCTCGGACACGGCGTGCTTGGCCAGCTCCCCGGGCAGCAGCAGGCGCACGGCAGTCTGGATCTCCCTGGACGTGATGGTCGAGCGCTTGTTGTAGTGCGCCAGGCGGGAGGCCTCGCCGGCGATGCGCTCGAAAATGTCGTTGACGAAAGAGTTCATGATGCCCATGGCCTTGGACGAGATGCCGGTGTCCGGGTGCACCTGCTTCAGCACCTTGTACACGTAGATGGAGTAGCTCTCCTTCCTGGTTCTCTTCCGCTTCTTATCCCCCTTCTTCTGGGTCTTACTCACGGCTTTCTTGGAGCCTTTCTTGGGAGCAGGAGCAGATTTCGCCGGTTCTGGCATTCCGAAGATTTCTTCAAGACTTCCCAGTACCTGAACAACAACGTGAAAGCAAGAGAGGCTGCTCCTTTATTTATACGGGTGTTATGCAAATTAGGGTATTCTACATTCAGCGTTCCCATTGGTGAAAAGAAATAGCGTCATTACAGACGTTTTCCCATTCACCCTTGCTTGAAGCCGGTATCCCAGAACAGTGACTATCAATACTGGGGAAGCACTTATTTGAAAAACCCCTTTGTACCTGAACAAAGTATCTGGTAAGATTCTCAATGCTCAACTGATTTACCATCTAGTTGTATTTAGTGAAACGCATTGCACAAAGCTTGTCATTTTTCTTTTAAGCAATCATGGACTAATTGGTAAAGATAGTACATTTTAACTAATTGCGTTAAATTACAATTACACTAATTTCCAAAAAATTTTGGAATAAAACGAGCAACCATAAAGGCTTATAAATTTCTAGAAAAAATAATACTATGTAAGCGTACTATTTTCTCTAAATTCAGATTGATGTAAGGCTTTTGCTTTCAAAAAAAAGAAGCGAAACAGCTCTTATTGCGAAGAAGTGGGTGGCTCTGAAAAGAGCCTTAGGTACAGATGTTTTGCTGAGTGTTTAGAACGAGTAGCTCAGCCGCCGAAGCCGTAGAGGGTGCGGCCCTGGCGCTTCAGCGCGTAGACCACGTCCATGGCGGTGACGGTCTTGCGCTTGGCGTGCTCCGTGTAGGTGACGGCGTCGCGGATCACGTTCTCCAAGAAAACTTTGAGCACCCCGCGAGTCTCCTCGTAGATGAGGCCCGAGATGCGCTTCACGCCGCCGCGCCGAGCCAAGCGGCGGATGGCCGGCTTGGTAATGCCCTGGATGTTGTCTCGCAGCACCTTCCTGTGGCGCTTGGCGCCGCCTTTCCCCAGCCCCTTGCCTCCTTTGCCGCGACCCGACATGACTACGTGAAGCACAGGCTACAGACTGTGCGGCTGGCTGGGTGACGTGTACGTATATTCCCTGGGAGCCGACCTGATTGAAAACTGAGAGAAAGAAAAGAGGGCGGGAGCGAACCCGGCGGGAGGGGAGGGGAGAGCGAGGCCCGCGGCTCCTCCTCTCCCGCCCCCAGCTCGGCCTTGCTTGTTTGCGACTTGGTTTTCACTCTCCCCCCCCCCCCC